AAATCTGAGGGTTTAATGTCACTTTAATGAAGTATGTTTCTCATCTGGGCTTTCTGCAAACTCATCGCCCTGACACAGCGATATATTCTCTAAAACCCAGTTTACCTTCACTGTCCTTTCCTTTTTTCTTGCCCCAGGGACTGGCCAGGTTTGGCTGCTTGTTATCTTCAGGGGGACTGGTTCCTTCACTGCCCAGCACTCTGAAGCTGACGTAAACATGCCAGTGTGAAGAGAGTGTGAGCGGTATTGTTCTAATGCCGCTATCTTAAGCCCACCTGTCCTGTTCATGAACAGGCAGAGTAGTTTGGAAAAAGACAGCATGTAGTCAGCCCACAACAAGGACTACAGTTCATTTCTGGTGGATCAGTAGGTGTTTTTCTGTACTTGATGTATTTCATAAAAAAAGATTTCAAGGGCACTCCCAGCATACAATTCTCTTTATTGAAGCAAAGTAACAAAAGCACTTAAACTTTATCTGGCTGACTAAACTTTCTCAAGGCGTACAGAAGACTCCTTTCTAGGGGACAGCCTATTTAGCCAATACTGAGTAAATTCTAGACCATTGGTTCTTAAATGGTGGGTCATGACCCCATGTTCAGTGGGTCGCCGCATGCCTTCCACTTTTCTAGGCAGAGGTTCCTCAGCCTCCCCCTAGTGCAGCTGTCTGGCGCCAAGTGTCAGCTTGAGGTGGGGTGGGCTGGGAGTATGGCCGTGAGGGAGCTCCATCCATACATACATTGCTTACACTTTCCTCACCTGTCCTGTAGTTCACGTAATGCACATATGGATGGAGCTCCATCACAGCGCAGAAGCCCACACTGGACCCCTGGCTAAGGATCCACTCCAGTTCTCGTAAGGTAGGGAGACTGGGTGGATCTTAAAAAAAGAGAAAAAAATGTTTTTGGAATGTGGGGACCTCAGGCAGCTTGCTGTGGACCTGGTAGTAGCTGTCTTTGACAGTGCTTGCCCGGTCCCAGATCTCCTCCTTCCTTGCGCCAGCAGAGCTCAGGACAGCCCCACACTGCACATACAGCCTCAGAGCCGACACAAGACCGGCACCGCCAATTCAGCTCACCACCTGCCCTTTCAGGCTCGTTCAGCCCAGCACCTGCCCACAGAGCCCTGGAGAGACCCACATGCAGCCGTGGTGACATCTGTACTCAGCCCTGGCGACACCTGTAACGTCTCTCCTAATTTCCTAGATAAGAAACCTCCTTCTACACCTATTCCAATTAAAGAAGGCAGAGTGTTTTGATATGCCACGGTAAGGTCAGGGTACGATGATCCATAACAGATGTCATTTAGTTGTCTCAGATTTTTCTGTACATACAGGGTCTATAAAGGGATGAAACACAGTAAATGTACATGTATTGCAGAGATTTTTGCCTTGATGTATGCTTTAAGTACAGTTACTAGGAAAACAGTGACGCTAAGTGGTCATTGTGTGGATTACACCAATTCAACAGATCAACTGACAGTCATTCAAAAGGGCAATAATCTAATTTCTACGGTAGTAAGCAGTTGGGTGACAGCTATTGAGCTGAACCTTGTTTGCAAAGTTTAGGTTAGAAGCCCTTAATGAAACACAAAAGAACAAAACACATTTACTTGCCAATCGTTCTGTGCTCCTCCATTCTACATCTCTCAGCACTTAATGCAGACCGTGATATGTGTATTTGTGGTGAAGGGGCATAAATAGTCCATTTAATAAATTAAACTAAACATTGAAATTAAGAAAACAAATGGCAGATCATACAACTGATCTTCCGATAAGCAAATCATTTTTTTTCTTTTACAGTGGTCTGTTCTCTTTATTTCTCTACTAGATATGGGTGACATACTGATCTGCCACCCACAGCCTTCTCAGATATCTATGCCTCACATACTAGGAGGTGGTAGTTCACTGTGAACTAAAATATTGCATGATTTCAAGTCTGCATAGTAAAAAAAAAAAGAAAAGAAGTGTGCCGCTAAATCTCTATATGTGTAAGCCTGAGATTTAGCAGATCCTTATCAGGGGGCTGGCTATAAAAACCAGGAGGAGACAGTCGGCTGGGAATTACTGCAGGTCCAAGATGGCGGCGTAGAAGAGCAGCACAAAGAGAACTTTAGATAGGAAGAAAACGGTGCATGACTCCCTGTTCTAGTAAGCATGTGCTTCACACAAGGACAGCACTTGAAGTGCCGGATTGTGGTTTTGGAAATGCAGGTGGAAGGTCTACTGTATGTTTATGAAGAATGTGTCAACAGATTTTTAAGTATAAAACGGCATTTATTATGTATAACGTGTAAATATAAACAGTCAAACTAGGATGATCCTGGATTTCAAGTATTCTGAGAAGAATTTAGTGGATTATGTGGCTGCCTAAAATAGAGATAGATAAAGGAAAATGTTATACATCTGCCAAAATAAAAAGATGTGAGCAAACAAATTATATGTAAATCCTAACAATGAACATCTTTTATCTGCTCCCTTTTGGTCTGTTAAATATACCATTGAAAGTGTTTTGTTATATCTGTTCAATAAGTGCAAAAATACTTGTCGATCATGTTAAAATGCCAGAGCTGTCCTTTGTTCACTGCCTTTATCATCTCAAAGAGTCCAATGAGCCCTCCCAGTTCTTACATTGGACTGCAGAATAATAAGTCCTTATGCTGGAAAGATGAGGACAGGGGGAGGGATTTTGTAGTTTAGCAAAGGGTTGCCCTATTTAAGCCACAAAAACGCTGTGTGTTGTCAACCCACAATAGGAAATTAGGGGCCGAGTGCATTTTTGGCAGACGAACAGGAACTTTGCTGTACTTGCAGGGTCTTTAAGGGGATAAAACATGGGGAACGTGTATGTATTGCAGAGATACTGTATATTGCATCGATATTTTATTTTGCTTTGACAAACACTTTAAGGTACATATACATAAATACATGAAAGTGTATGTAAATCCAAACTCTAATTTGTAGTACTTTAAGCATGATGCCTTACTGTAAAGCATTTTCTTAAATAGACTTGCAAGAAGCATACGTTGACCTGATAGGTAGCCCAAGTGAAGGAGCTTTCATGGCAGGGTGGCAACCCTGCTCCTAATTGCAGGCCAGTGGCTTAGAGTTCTCAACCTGCAACTGAAGTGTTATTACTGGCAGGATGACTAGCAAGAAACTTTGCAACAGGTTCACAAAAATGATTTCCTGAAGAAAAGTATACATACACCTCAATTTTGAAGCTTAAAGCAGAACTCTAGGAATTAAAACAAATTAACCCTTGCAGTGGGGCTACCCCTGCACTGAAAAGGTTAACTGCTTGTTGTAGTCTAGGGCCTCAAATAACAAAAATATACTTGCCTGATAATTGATCCCGCCTGGCTGCTAGACTTTTTTTTTTACAGATATACATTTTAAAAGAGAATTAAGGGGTAAGTGTTTTTCCCCACAGTTCTCTTAAGGGCTGCAGGAGGACATATACTAGCGTCCTCCTGTGACCCAAAGCTCAGTATATCCCAATACTAGGAACCCCGCAGTCGGGACAGTTCACGACAATGCTGCAGAGATTCACCCAGCTGCATGAATCAGCCCGCCCCTCCCCCGTCTGTTCCTCTACTCAGCGCTGGAAGATCGGAGCGGGGAGGGGGGAATCCCTGCGGGGAGCCGTGACTGACAGTCACCACTCTCTGCAGGGAGATAATCGAGAAGTGAATGAGCGACGGTATGCGTTCGCTCACTTCCTGATCTATTGAGCCGACGTTTGACAGTTTCATTGTCACACGTCGGCTCGGACTATGAGGATGAGTGATTTCCACTCACCTCATAGTTCTCCTTTAAGTGTTCCCATTCTTACAGTTAACAATAGCAATACACATCAGTCTAGGTAAACAATGGCTGTTTAATTCAACTTCCTGTTGCAGTTTTAAGGGTCACAGCCTCATTAAAATGAAGATTCTAAGGCAAGTATGAAATGTTAGATCTAAATGTTACATTTATTGTATGGTGCCAGATTCTTTTGCTAGTCATTATGTCAGCCACTGTCTTCAATAAATGCATTGACAACAGAATTCCATATCATTAAATGCATGTTAGGCTCTGATTTCTGTTGAATGTATATTTTCAGCCTCTGGGGACACCTCCATACAATGTCCTCTTATAAAAAAGGTCCAAAGGCTTCTCATTTAGAACATATATGGTACATACTTTTAGGATGCACTTCTCTAAATTACAGTATGTCAGTGGAACCAAAGCTGTGAACAATTCCAACTGCACTTCTGAATCAGCAACCAAAAAAAGATCATGAATGCAAATATTTAAAAAAAAAGTATTTAAAAAAATCATGGATTACAATTGCAACATCTTTATTATCAGACAGCAATCATCGCAAAAGTAAGTCAGTCAAGATATCTCTTTGCCCCATTCATGGACTATGGCTTTTCCTGGGGGAATTTTGTCATTTTCTTGAATTGTCTTAGATCTTCCACCCCTACTCAAGTGGATGTGCCTGGAAGAATTCCATGGAGGTGACCATATAATGTACTAAAATCCCCTAAACAGCCACCTTTCAATTGAAAAGAGCAGCAGCTCTACAAGCCACTCTTGGACACCAAACACTTCACTCTATCACCAATATAATATCCAGATCCCAATCTGTGCATGGGTTTAACCACTTTTATATGAAATCAATAGCTTTGTATCTTACATGGCCTTTGGTTGGCCACCCCGTGCTAAGGTATACTTGTAAATTCTGGTTTCTTGCATGGTGAACTTTTCTGTGCATTGGTCTTTGTCTGCCTTCCCTTTTCTCAAGACCCGATTCTTAAAGGAGGCCCCATCAGAGGCTCAAGGAAATTTACAGTCACGTAAGCCCCTCCATTGCACCAATTATCCTAAAAGAAACGTGTGCCACAGTTTTCACAATTATATGGAAAGACTACAAGTAGGTTATTTGGGCACACAAAAAAAATCTATCTGAAATGTATATATACATTACACACGTCCAGGGCAATGCCACTCACTTTAGAGAATTTATGCCTTGGGAGTATTATTCTGGATGAAATAATCTGACATTTCCTTTAGTGCTCTATACCGATGAGAAATGCTGTTCTTCACTTCCTTTGGAAGTTCTGCATACCTGCATGTTAAGATAAACAGTAAAAACAAACAAAACAAAAAACACAATTATATTATACATATGAAGCACAGTTCACATTTGATGGTACATAGACCGTAGTGAATGCTTAAGAAGATTAATTTGAATGTTCTGCATCTTGTATGATTAGAATCAACTTTGCTTGCTAATTATCATATTTAATACAAATATTAAATATTTACAATGTATCATTGTAAATCCTAATGCAAAATAAACAGAATATCCTTCAGATATCAAACTATAGATGACACGTATTATAATCAAAGAGAAACAAAACCCTGCTCGTATTCTCAGAATGGCTCCCTCCCTCGACTGTGTCTCAGGTGCACACAATGAGCATGCCTCTACTCTAAAATACAGGGTTCCAAGCTAACACCGCACTCCACAGGTTCTTCGTATCTCTTCATATATCTCTCTATATAGATCTCTACATGAGTAAGCCCGATGGTGAAACACATTGGAGGATTCATGTGAGAGGAGAATGGCCGGTGTGTCTTCTGTTGTTTTTTTGACTAAAAGATTTAATCTCTGGTGAAGATCCTGTGGCCTGCAGTGTTTGCTTGGAACCCTATAAATTACACACAATTTATAAGATTCAGAGTTCGCCAATACCCATCTTCAGTTTTAGTGTGACAATCTAGCATATTTATTTAGCACTGTGGCCCAGTGGTTAGCATTCCTGCCTTGCAGCACTCCGGTCTCGTGTTCCAATCTCAATCAGGACACTAACTGCATGGAATGTGCATGTTCTCCTTGTGTGGGATGGCTCTGGGAACTTTGGTTTCCTCAAAAACACTGCACTGAGGCAGTGCATCACACTGCCCACCTACCAGACCTGTCACACCACACAAGCCCGGACTTCCAAGCCCCACAGTATAGTATGCTCATAATGCTTGCAAATGCCAAGCGCTCATTGGTCAGCACAGTCAAATGACCACGCTAACCAATGAGAAGCGCTTCTAACTTCTGGGACCCGGGCCCAAGGTCAGCGCTTTTCATTGATCAATTCTTAGAACTTAGAAAGCACTTTCTAATGTAAAAAATGGATTGAATGCAGCAGATGCAGTTGTCCATGGAGTAGTAGACCTAGTTAATGCCAGCAGGCAGCTGGACCTGGGTGAAAAACTACAGACACAGGACACAAGATATGTAGTGGATTAAGAAAGCTGTGAAAGGTGACCTTCCAAGAACTAATTTTCAGTGTACTTAAAATGTAATGTCACCGTCCAGACAAATGTGACACTGTAAGACCTGGCAGTGAAATATTAAACTCTGTAAATAATATTAATTTCCTGTTTTGTCATCTTATATCTGGGTGCACTTTTGAAAGCTCCTTAGTTATTTTATAATTAAACACAATTTAAATTCCTCTATTTTTTTTGCTTTGTTTTTCAGAATATTCTGAATGATAACATTAACATAAAAATCCATACCTGCAGAAATGGCAATATACTCTTTTCACTATCTTTTATGCAAAAAGATGATCTACTAACTTCTTTAAAGATAAGATATCGCAATTAAATCATTAAAAAATCATCAAAAAATGTGGTATGAAAATCTATTTTTGGCTGTTGAAAATTATATTAAAATATTCTCTCATCCGAAAAACTCTATATGCTACAGCTATGATAGATCCTCAAGGAAAAGCCATATTAAGTAGTTACTAGGAAAACAGAGACACAATGTGGCCATAGTGTAGATTCCACTTCTTGAACAGTCCAGATGACTGTCATACAGGTATGGCAATACTTTAATTTCTATGGTAGAAAGCAGACAGAGCTACAGCAATTAAACGGAATATGAATTGGGAAATTTAGAAAGCACTGAAGAAGCCTGATCAGGTGAAATGTGTAGCACAAATTTCTATAGCTGCGAGTGTGATGTCACTTAAGATGTTTTTTTATGTTGTATTCACATTACATGCAATTTCTGGGTTTCACTGGACACAGTTGTGGTCATTTAGATCAGTGAATTTTGTTGAATGCTCGTTAGTGTGTCTTGTTATAGTTGTAGAGTGAGTGGCAGAGTACAAAGTGTGGAAGTCATTAGTTCTTTCTCTGCTCTAATACACATGGGATTTACTTTCTCACATATCAACTTGTGGATTGTTGGGCCTCAAAATTTGAGATATTCGGCGAGTGGACATCTTTTATGAGAGTGGAACATGGAGTTGCTGGAAATGTTCCTCAAGAGTGCCGCAGAATGCAGCTAAATGGAAAACCTGTTCTAACCTCCATTCTGCTCCTTGTCATGAGCACCACCACAAGCACCTGTCTGCCCCCCTCTGTTCATTGACAAAAATCCTACGTTAGTAGAGCCAACCTTATAAGTTTATAAAACACTCTGTAGCCCAGAGTAGATATACTGCCTGGAGGGCATTTTGATCATACTTGCACCTCTAAGCAACCTCTAATAACTATGGACAGACTTTGACTTCACCTCATGCCAACAGACTACTTACGTCTGCTCATAACCATCTGGCTGAAAACATGGGTCCCATCCAAAGTCCCGTGGCCCTCGTGGAGATACTATTTGCCCCTAAAAGTGAAAAAGATATTCTGTTATGTCCTTAAAGAAACATGGAATAAAAAGCACTTACACCTTACATTCTAAAGGTTTCCTCTTTATATAAAGTATATTTTGCTAATATACTTGACTGGAAGCCAGCAGATCAATGCAACAAATTGTCCTGTTGTGCAGATGAAATTTTTTTACAATAGTGAGATTACCATTCCAGACAAAGAGAGATGTGCAACAACGTGCATTATAAATGATCATTAAAACACACTAGGTTCTCAATTTATTCAAGTTCAGGTTAATGTCCATGTAGGGTTGGCTTGAAATTGATGACACAAATAGGTGCACTGGGGATGTTGTGGTGCGGGAAGATATGCGAGGCATCAAGATGGCTCCTATCCACATAGAGACTCATTGACATATGATACTCTACAACAGGAGTAGGCAACCTTGGCACTCCAGCTCTGGTGCAACTACAAATTCTATGTAGGCATTGCAAGACTCTGACAGGCACGACTCCCAGAAGCAGATGCATTGTGGGATTACTAGTTTCACCACAGCTGGTGGGCACGAGTACAGGGATTACAGAAATCTGTTCTGGTGGGCGGATTACAGGGGCTCTCTCTGCAGTTTATTCTGAGATCTGACCACTGCTGTTAGATGTTACCATTTACATTTGTTGGGTGTGAAACTATAATCTTAGCTTTTTTTTTTTTTTATTTTTAATATGAAAAATTGCTTACATTTGAAATACACATGCATTTCTAAAATACAATTCTGGCATAAATGAAAAAGACCCTGTTGTCCTGCGAGTGTCCATCAGTTAATGACACTCATGAGCCTCCAGGGTGTCTGAGGCAATGAACTAGCAAAGCTCAGAAAAAGATGTAAACAATGTCTTGTGTTTGGGCAGATCACAGCAGTCAGCTAATGCATTTGAGCTCTGTAGGATGGAGTATATTTATAATGAAGATGGTGTATGGATAGGCTACAGTAGGTTTAGTGAACATACATTTATTAAAGCGTATCTAAACTCAAAATTTGAAGCTTGCTAGTCCTTAGATGTGGTTGCTGTATTCATTTTGCTTTTGCAAACTTTTTGCTTCCTACAGGATTAGCTGCTCCTCTGAGCACTGGCTCGGATATCCTGATTTAGGGTGGATCCTTTCCCTTACATGGTCTTATGGAGCAACCCTTGTGTGTGCTATGTCTCCACAAACACACAGGTAACGCAGAGCAAGTCACTCCCCTGTTCCCTGTTTCCAACGCCCCACTTCTTCAAGCTAGTAGATGGACAGCTGCTTGAGACTGTGCTCTCCCTTGTGATCTTGTACTGGACAAGAAGAGTCAGGAAAGCCGAGCTTTGAGAATTGGAGCAATCTGTTCGGAAACATGATGACTAAGTTCTTGGACAGAAATGTAAAGAAATACTTTGACTGACTCTCTAGAAGCTTAAAAGGTGAACTATGAGGCGAGTGAAAATCAATCAGCCTCATAGTTCTAGCCGAACTGTGACAATGCAACTGTCACAGGTCGGCTCTATAGATCGGGAAGTGAGCGAACACATAGCGTCGCTCGCTCACTTCTCGATCTATCCCTGCAGGGATTCCCCCGCTCCCCTGTCCGATCCTCCAGCGCTGACTGGCGGAACGGATGGGGGAGGGGGCGGGTAAAACTGGCTCTGCTCTCTAGATAGGCAGAGCCAGCTATTACTCACGCAGCTGGGTGGATCTCGACAGTAATGTCAGGATCCGTCCCGGCTGCTTCGGTCTCAGTATACTGCGAGCTGTAGCCTGCGGTATACTGAGCTTTGGGTGACGGGAGGACGCTAGTTTGTGTCCTCCCGTTACCCTTAGGAGAACTATGGGGAAAAGCCCTGACCCCATAGTTCTCCTTTAAGTATGTTAGGAAAGTAATGTTAGCCCTAGAGTATAAAAGACAGATTTCTACATTTCTGTACAAAGGGCAATACTGTGAAACTCATGCAGTGCATGTGTAGCCACGGATTATGTCCTTGTACAGTCTAGGCCTAGGATCCAAAGTACACAGGAATTAGTTTGAAGACTAACACAGGCACTTGCAGGCACCAAAATACTTTAGCACTGTTGTTATGTTTTAGGCCAGGTCAGGCTCACTCTAACTGTGCTAAACTGCTTGACAACATAGGCAGTGTGAGTCAGGGCATTTTGCACAGTTTAAGACAATTTTAGGATCCCAAAAGAGTGTTTCACATGAATATTAACATTTTAAAACATTTAGGGAGAACCTCCATTCATAAACACAGTTTCTGTGCTAAACATTTTTTAAAAAGCAGATAATGAACACACCAGGGTTTTGCCTCTGAAGAGAAGTACAGGGTCATCTGGGTTTCCAGTGCTGTAAGCAAATGTGCAGAGGGCATAGGCTGACTTGTCATCAAATCCTGCCAACATCCGATGTAAACCTGTGAATGCAATCAACTAAAAAGTATGAGGATTAGAATGTGCACATTTTAATGATTCTAATAAAGTAAATCTACAATTCTACAGTACAGTGCCCCCCTCTCTGTATACACAAGGTACATGTAGAGTCTCAAAACTATTGTTGGAACTTTTACATTAACAGAAGTAGGGCTGCAGCAAACAATTCTTTTCATGAGCTTAGGGTGACGGGAGGACGCTAGTTTGTGTCCTCCTGTTACCCTAAGGAGAACTATGGGGAAAAGCCCTAACCCCATAGCTCTCCTTTAAGAACAGGCATTTGCTTTGTGTTAAAAAAAGCTTTTTATATGCTTTACAAAGCAAAAGGTACTGTTCTTGACATGAAGACCAAATGCTCTAATAAACACAGCGTGTCTGCCTCGCTTTGCATTCATTTTGATCTTGCCTGCAACTTTCGGCAGACATTACAACTTGCAAAATGGCTGCATTTAAGTCAATGGAAGCACACAGCAAACATGGACTAATGTGCCTAAGGCGTCTGTCACACATTTGGAGCGCTACAGCAAGGCTTGTTTCATGTCATTTCTTACACCCCTCCAAACTCAACCCCCCCCCACAGCTTCAGAAAACTATAGCACCTCCTAAACACATCTAAAACGTGAACTAGTGCTATAGGCATCTTAGAAGTATTTCAATTTTAACGTCCATGTGAACTTAACCCAAAGGGAACTGATACCATTAAGTGAACTCAAAGATTGGCAGGAGAGAAGAAGTGAAAGCAGACGTGTGCACCTATACCACATCTGCATGTCAAAAAGCCATCCTCTCTTTGCTTTATTTCCTCTTTTCTTTCAAACCCGCATTGCTTTTCTCTCTCACTGAGTCCATGGATTAGTTACAGGTTAATCCATACAATCCATGTTAAGTAACTTCTAGTTCTGTTATTAAATAAGCCAGTTACATATTTCACTAAACTGATGTTTGGGTACGTGGTCCTTGCTTTGCAATGTCACTGAAAACCTGCTTACAGTCATGAAATTCTGTTAAAGCCTAATGCTTCTTGTACTATATGATTGTAGTATCTAGAAGTCTTATTGTTCACCCTGATTACCTTGATTTCTTCTTGTATAAACTAATAAATACTAGATTCTGAGGAAAAAAAGACATTCTCCCACCACCCAAGTAAACTAACGCGAAATATTAATTAACAGCATTGACAGTACAAAACAAAATATTTGGTAAAGTAAAGCTGTAAATAAAATGGGCGCCTACCTTCAGGTTTTAGCTTCTCAAGAAACCATTTTCTAAAAAAAAGAACAAATGCTTAAAATGTTAATCCTTTCAAATAAAGTGGCCCCACAGCCAAAAAAGCAAGACCCTTAAAGGACAAGTTGACATTTAAGTAAACCCCCCAACTCCTGAAATTCAGCCCATCTGCTAAAATACTTACCTTCCTCCTGGCTATATTTGCTGTTCTGTCCTGTCTGATGCCGTGCAGCCTTTGTCCAATTTAGTCTTCTGGATAACCCATCATTTTCTGAATGGCTGGTTATGCCACAATGAGTACATCTCATCTATGGGAATGAATGGTGCATGCTGTATGTGCATAGTAAGACGAGGACTCGGCCGGGCCATTTTCCTTGACGAGGTTGAGCAGTCATAATTTGTATATCATTTTTGGGACATTTCACCTTTACTATGAAATCTGTATGTAGCCTAAAAGAACAGCAGAATGTGTGACCTCTATATACAAACAGTATGATTTGAACAAGGCCGATGTTTAATCCATGTATATTTTGCCCACCCTGGCTCCTCCTTTGGCCGCTCATCAACATACTAATGACATTTTGTAATAAAACCTTTCCATTTTCATTACATACCTTATTTTAGACCCATTGATATCATCATTAGGTCTCTATGCTTTTCTGTGCAGTGCAGGAAGATCATTACTAGTGGGAGAGGCTGGCAGGGTGCTGTACATAGCTTCCTAAAACATCACAACACGCTGCCTTAGTACTCCTCTCAAGAGCCCTCAGCAATGATGAAAGCAGTGGGCTTGCTCTTGGGAGGAGTTATGTAAATGCCTTGATGGGTGAGTGTTAGTCTGTAGGAGTGGGTGTTCGTTGGCAGGATGCATTCGTATGCAGGCCACCCTAGGTAACACCCACATGTACTGCTGAACCTCCATAATTGAAAAAACTCAAATCCAAAGAATGAAGGGGGCGGGGCCAGGACAGTCAGGCTAGGGAGGATAGAGTTAGGTGATGCTGGACACCCTCTAGCCAAGAAATATCTCGGGCTCTATATGACGTGCTGTGGCTTCCAATGTACACTTTGATATCCAGTCACCAGAACAAAAACTGAGAGGGGATCCATAATGTTACAGTTATCACTACAACAGAAGATAAAGGGAATCTCTCTACGTGACAACTGTTTTGGTGTCAACGGAGAAACTTCGCCTTACTTTGCAAAGTTCCCACTTCCTGTAGTATCTCTGGGACAGGAAGTGAGGATAAATTATCTCGAAAGGGAACAGAGAAAGCCACAAAACCTGACAAAGCTAACCCTTTCTCATTCAATGCAAACATTAAAAAATATTTCAGCTGAAGTTCCACTTATCTTAATGTTCTGCCTGAATGGAAACCTAATCTGAAACAATATGGAGGCTCTCACTGGCAATCTCTCCTTTTGAAAATGCTAGTTGTCTGGCTGCATTGCTAATCCAAGGGCTGTAAAACTTTCCAAAGCACAGAGCAGGAAAAAGAATGCAGATCAACAGTACTGACTTCACTCTTGCTTTATCTGAATGTTTGTTGCAGATCCATGACACAAAGTACTGAAGCCAGAGACGTAACTAGGATTTTCAGGAGGTCAGCAATGGCAACCTTTGTATCTTTCTGAATCCAGGGTTCCACTAAAATGTTTAAATAATATTATGTGTTGATGTGAGATAAATATCTATACGCTTGAAGCAAAAATGTTTGTCTAGGCTACTTACATATATGGGCCAGGAAGGCCTCCGAGAGCATTAAAACACAAACACGTGTCTTCAACTATGACTGGGCCCTGGATCTGAAATCATGAATAAAGAAAGGTGTTTGTTTATTATAATTTAAAGAATTATATGTGTGGAGCACATTAGTCTAATAGTCATTAATTACTGACACCAATACCTGGGGGGGAGGGGACCTTACTTACTGACCACCAGTGAAGAGCCATCTTTTTACTCCTGCTGACCACATTTCAGATCGGTTTAAAAGGGAGTGAACTGTCCAAGGGGCATTTTTTACTTTTACTGACCACACTGGGGAATTTTTGCTCCCCCTGACCACTAACACATGGGTATTTTTTTATTCCCAGTAACTGCCTGGGGGGTGAGGGAGAGAATTTGGTGTTGCAGGCAATATTTGCTCCCACTAACCACCAGCACAGGGGTGCTGACCACAGTCTGGCTCCCAAACAGCGGTGGGAGAGGGGGTTGAGCTTGCCACAGGGGCATTTTTTACTTTTACTGACACTAGGGCATTTTTACACCCACTGACCACTGGCGTAGGGTAATTTTTTTTTCACTCCCACTGACCACAGGCTGGAGGGGAAATTGGGTATTTTGTACTCCCACTAACCACCATGACAGAGGCATTTTTTTAAAACTCTTACTGACTACAATGTGCCTCTCTTT